ATCCGAAGAGCATTATGACTAAAGGCGTCACCTTGTTGAAATTAAATCTCTACTGCTTCATTTAAACGAACATCAAACATAAATCATCAAGGATAGCAAAAAGGTTTGATTGTGGTTTAAAGTAATCAAATTTAAAAAAATTCTATCAGAAACCAATAAACCAAACCATACACTTACTCTGAAAACAACATTTTACTCAACAATCATTGAAGAGAAAGTTGCATAACACATTTTTCTGCTTTTTATTTTTGCTACATTTTAACTAAGATAATAAAGTAGGTATCATTTTAAAATTAACTTTTTTGATCCTCGCCCGTATCTCATAAGCGAGCAAAAATGTTAATTTCAATTTTATTTTAACCGAAAAAGAGCATATAACTCCTTTTTTGTTAGCCCTAACAATTACGGCGATGGAATGTTTGGTAGGATGTCCAAACGAAAAGCTAAGCTTTATAATGAACTGGACGTAAATGTAGTTGTTTCTGCTGCTAACAATATAATTCCAATGTACTTGGCAAATCTGTTCATTGGGCATCTGTTAGATGAAACTGAGGAAAAACTTACGCACCATATGGTTTGGAGGAATGACATGCACAGACTCGGTTGCATAAGTTATAGGCACATTATTTGCATTTATCTTCACACGATCAATGTATAAATAGATTCATCGTAATTATTTAACCAAAGAAGAAATGTCTGCCGGTATGTCGTTGACAGAATAATAAATTACTCTTAAACTAAAGAAAGGGCAAACACCAAAGACACTTACCACATGGCTTGCACTGAAACTGGCTTAAAAATGTGATGACTACCACAAACTCCGACGCTGAAGCCCCTGAAAAAGAACAAAATAAATGCATCGGCTTCACATTTTTTAGCTACCATGACTATGTCATCTACTGCCTAATCAAAACAGGAACGCTAACAGCTGAAATCCCTATTTGCTTGGATACAATCAATCGCATTCTAGGTCAAACGTATGGAACAATCCACCCGACAAGCTGTACACTAAATCGAGACCTCCAAGTCTGCCAAGAAAAAAAAACAATTAACGAGCCAGACCGCATGGCGGCTTATTAAAGCCACCAACTGCATTGCAAAAGAATCGGTAATTAAATCCGTGCATTCAAAGACATTACTCAACTTTGTATTCGTTGCACTTGGGCCACACGTTTATTTACATAAGTGTTTATCAGTAATCCGCCTTCTTTCAGCGACGCCTTTAGAGAGTTATCGTGCAATAAACATAACGTATGCGACTTCCGACATAAAAACCAGACGGCAGTTTAGAATCAACAGTGAATTAAATGAAGAAATAGATTCTTCATCACTATGAGCGGCTGGGAGTCAATAAGTCCTCAGGGTGGAAATAGAAATCGTTTGGCAACAGAACAAAATTTTTTTATCTCCAGTTCAAAATGAAAAGATAGCGAGCGAGTGAAAATAGACAATAGAAGTAAATAAGCAAATAGTTCATATTTTTTTTATAATTAACCCACAGCGTCTGTGCCTGATAGCTTGATAGAATTAGCCAGGCTAGAACGAATAGTAAAATGAAATGTTCCTAAATCGGACTAGACTAGAAGTGAACTGCTTTGTGATTTAAAAGATTTTATGGCAAGAAACCAATTGAATAATTCGATTGTGGAAATAACCAAATTAATTCAATTAATTTTGAAAATGTGTTGCATTAATTACACAACCCTATAGAGATTAAAGCGATATTCCAGGAAGTTTAAGTGAAGATAAGAAATAACACTTGGGGCATCAACGGAGAGGTTGTACGAGGCGTGCTTTTGGGTCAATTTAATTCGATTTAAAGGGAAAGAAAGTTTACTGATTTCAAAGAGAGAAAAAGTAAGTCGAGATATGATTTTCGAACAAAGTAATTCGATTTAAAAAGAGAGCCGAATGGAACGTTTTAATATGACTATAATGATATTTAAGATAGATGCAATACGATGTGGCTTTTCCGAACAAAATTATTTTATCTAACCAGCAACGACAAATATTTAATTAATGAGAAGTATTTACTGATAGAGATAAATACTCAAATAAGATAAGAAAAGATCCTCATTAGATTCAATTTATTTGATTCGTTTTATATTGTTAGCCGTTCTTAACTCATTTTGCAGAAGTATCCTTACACGTTTGCTTAAAAAATAATAATTATTTATATTAAGGCAACCCTGCGATTTAACTCGTATAAATGGTTCAAATCATTATTTCGATTATTAACTACGAGATATTAGTAATAACTCGATTGCTTCCCTCACATAATCCTGCATTTTATCAGTTAATAATTTTAGACATTAATTAGGTAATTCTTTAAATTAACAAAACATAAATTAAGGGTTTTTTGCAATAACGACAGAATGCTGAAATATATTTGAGGGAAACTTGTTGTAGATGTATTCCAATGTCAGGGCCATATTTTAATGATATTTCCGCGTACAGCGGAAAAACTCACTTCATTTCCTCTGACTTCTGAGGAACGCAATCTGAAGGAAAACGCATCCAAAAGACCACCGGCCTAAGACGTTGGTCTTGCCGATCATCTCATAATTAAGAATGGCTTGAGAATTACTTTATTGTAAAAGAACATCATCGCTTACTTCAAAATTAGTGCACCAATTAAAAAAAAATAGTTGATTCCAGCTCTCAATAAAAAGTGCTGGTAGTTTTTGTACCAAGACACTCAATAACTCATGAGTTTCCTAAAGCTGCTGAACTCCGTTGCTTCATCAATATGAGTTTTACATAAAAACAACTTCAAAGCAAGTTTCATTCAAATTCTTTGTCCCAATATTTAAAAAAAAATTAAAGAACTTCGACCAGTAAGAGCAGAAGAGCCGAACACTTTTTTTAAATAAAAGTTAGGGCAGATCGTCCACATTTTATCAAAAAAATGTATATTTTGGTCTTTATTCATTAGCCATAAAAATCGCGATATTTCTTTTTAATTAGAGAATAATAATTATTTTACAGTTATTATATCTGCTTCGTTACTGGTTTTTAAATAAGACTCTTTTGTCGGATAAATTTGTTCCCTTCCATTTCATTGTTCCTTTGAAATCATCAGTAAACTTTAATTTCTACCCCGAATACTTTAATTGCACCTGTTTTGTTTCAAAATCATGCCCGTATTCAAAATTCTGTTCGGAATGCGAATCATTTCCTACTGACAAAATGTCTATTACATCTCGAACAAATTCCGTCTCTTTTGAGCAAAGTTCTATTTAATTTTTCATCCTTTCTCAGTTCTCTGTCGACTTTAAGTCGAAGTGTTTTGTTACAAATTACATCTCACTTTTACATTAGTAAAATCCGTGTGGTTCTCTTGTCTCCCTTTCGACGCCCGAGCTTAGTTGAATTAATTGGATTCTTTATAATCGAATCGATATTACATCGAATCTTTCATACTAAAAACACTTTGATTTTATACACAATACGTTGCATAACTTGTTCAAGTGTGCAATTTTTGAAAGAAACCAATTTTGCTTACCCATCTCCATCAAGAGTGATCTTCGTATCGGCCAGGACACGCAACACCAGTCCAACAGTGGTGTCTTCGTTGCAATCGATACCCAACAGACATGATTCCTCTCCTCTACTGCCCATCCTGGATACGACCACCAGATATCTAGTTCTGACTGGATGGACGCTTTCTAATTTCACTGCCTGAAACAGAAAATAAAATTTTATGTAAGTATACGCAGCAGTGAAAATACAACGTAAGCAGACTTTGACCGTTGAAGTCTACTGCGTCTTACTTTAGTTCTAATCTGCTATTGAGTGGGATATGGAGGTACTCACATGTTTTCGAAAATTTCCTACGATTTTTTCTAATTTATAAAAGAACAGGAATTAAGAGACTGCAGTAGGTTGATCGGAAAGCGCAAAAATGACTGATGATTGATGAAAAAATATAATTTAACGATCACGATGTAAACGAACTTTTTGCTTTCTCTACACCATGAGATCTATAAAAAATTGATACTAACTTCCAGACCATGAATTTAGTAGTGCAAATAATAATTGTTTCATAATTTTCATATTTAATCGAGTATCTATGGCATTGTTAATATAACGGCACATAACGGAATACAATGCAAATCCCTATCAGAACAGGCGTCTTTCATATCCGAAGAAAAACGACCATATAAGGCATACATGTAAATGTATTACTTCTTAATCAATTGCACTTTCTTTATTCCCGATTTTTGTCAAAACCATACTTCTATGTCCTCTCTCGTCTTTAAGTCGAGTGGTTTTATCTCAAACGGATGCCTTCCATTACGTCTCCCTCACATTCCTAATTATCGTTTCGTCCTCTTTCACATCATCCGACGCCTCTACATTGAAATAGGGTTTTCGGACAAAAAATTCCGTATTATATCTCTTTTTTATATCAATGACTCGACATCGACTTTTATTATAATCGAATTATTTCGTTCAATTCTTTCCGTCGCTACTTCAACAGTTTTTTTTTTCAAAATTTGTTATTTTTATTTTCCTGAAGCGGCATTTTCGTTAATTACTTAAAAAAATATGCTGCATATTTTATTTCTAGCTATCTGCAAAGAGAAGAGTGCTTCTGAAGTCTACCTGTATTGCCCTTATTGTACTATAACAACATTGAAACCAATATTTATTTGCACATTTCACTTTCTGTTTTCAAATGTTTATTCAAGGTAAAAAATACCAAGATACTCTTCCAATCGGAGTTTCACAAAACTGAACCTGATACCATCAGCTAAAAAATAATCCCTCAAACAAGAACCTTGGTAGATCGAAGACCCTAAAAAGACATTCCTGAGTAAATGAAGAACATGCAGCTTTTAAGCTAAGAAAACAATTCAAACAAACATCCTGTGTTTTAATCAGTGCCTGTTTCTCCACACGACAGTCCCATGGAACATCTGATATTAATAAGTGCCCTTTTCACGATTATCTGAATAGAATCAACGGCCCAGAAGTGCCCATTGAAATCGAGCTATTCACTTAACCGTCATCGAAACAAAGAGACGTTCTTATCTGCCTGATGGAAACCGGAACAAAGAAAATTTTAATTAGTTTGGTTGAACGGTGAGATTTGTTTGTTGCACTTTTACAATTAACTGGTCAGCATCCTCACACGTATGGTACCGCAAAAAAGTTGCAATTCAGCAGCATCAATTAGGTTCCTCTTGGCTTAAGCCCACAAGTATGTTACGAGGCCGATAAAAACTTCCATTACCAGTCCGATAATGGATGTAGAGTTTCCATTAAAGATCGCTCAGCCGCTTTAGGAAAGCCCATTTCGTGAATCGAGTCGATAAAAATCCATTTAGAGCCAATTTTCCACGAAACACGCCATCAAATTACATGAAAGAGATTATACAATAGTTCTTAACTAAGCGTATTTTCAGCTTTATGGTTGCCAATATTTTCACCTTTAGTTGAACAGGGTAATTAATGCAAATTGAGGAATACACCAACAAAAACACAATAATTATTTGCAAATTTGCAATGGTTAATACAATTTCAAACTTGTAAAAACCGACGTAAGGGTCGTGAAAAGTGACCATATGGGTAAACAAGCCCCACCGTTCACCACATCGAATTTGGGACGATTTTAACCATAGAAAAACAGGCATAGTCACAGTAGGTTGAAAGGCAAAACACCTTTTAGATAGGAATTTTTCAAATACTAAATCAAATATTATAACAAATTTAAACAAATCGACATTCAACGCCGCTCCCCATATTTCTATCAACGGGACACATTGAGGTCAAAGCTAAAACAATTTAGTAAAGTATTTATGATACGATAATTTATAACTCTCATTAGTACATAAATTAATTTATGCTCATTGGTGTTATTACCGAAGATAGAAAAAGCATATTTAGGTTTTGGGTAAAGAGGCACAGTTGAACATATTCATGGTCTTATTGTGATGGTCTTTCGAGAACCACACTTTGAACTTGTTACTTAAAAGTCGCCACATTCGGTATCAACGAGTTTCTCAAAAAAGATCTAAATCATCACTTTTAATTGGTGTTCCGTTTGGCTGGCTTATTAAAGAAATACATTGAAGTTCTATAATGAACCAACATCAACAGCTTATATATTCGTTTGAATGAAAAACACCTCGATATTTATGCATTCTGCCTTCGCGGTGCAGTTGGTGATTTTTTTGTCCAATAAAACCGCAATAATGAAAATCAAGTCTACTGAAAATCGCCTTATAGGGACAATTATCCGTCAACCTTCTAATAAATATGTTGATCGATGCACTTTCCAATAAAACATTGCGCTCTGTATATGGCAGTGACAGGGATTTTTATTTCAGTAATTTATCGGCAGGAAAGTATCACCAGCTGTCCAACAAAGGAATCTTAGGAAATATGGGGAACTGATGATGATTGATAGTTGTGAAACGTCGGCATGGAAATTGGACGGATTTCAAATGCTTGTTAAGGCCGTTTCAAACTGAACAACAATTTCCAACCACAACATGAATAAAATAGTGTGCGTTTGTTTAAATTCTGACAATATCCACGTTTCTGATCTTTGATCAAATCTTCTATTTAATTTAATTTTTCTTTTAGAAAAACAAAAACAGCAAAAAGAGATTCACTTGCATCTTTTAAAGGTAATCGAGATTAGCAATATCCATTTTGTCAAAAGGTATAAATATAAATATCTTTAGCGTTCAGATCAAATTGAACATTTTCTTTCAACAAAATATTCGATAAAGTAATGCAAAATAACACTAAGCAATTGAGCTGAAATACTAAGAAAAACGACCTTATTCCTCCATAAAATTTAGTTGTTAATTATCACCAGCATTAAATTTTTAATGAGCCGAACCTAGACTAATCAATTCCTGGTGACTTGCTGAGGTTGGTAACCTTGCCAAAAATTTGAAGAAATATTGATTTTCAAGCCGAAAAAGGAATTATTTACTTAAGAAATGCAAATATTTGTGAAAACCTGCCAACCGTTCATCACCATTGCGAATGGGGAATGTCTCATTTATGAACTACTAACAGAAACGAAGCAGGTAGCATGCAGCAGAACAGACAATTCCAAAGCTTAATGGAAAATTGACATGTTAGACTAGATGGAGCAATTATCGATTGGAATGCAATCAATTTGCAGCGTTACAGCTAATCAATCAAATGTTGAATTTCCGGTCCGAGATTGAGGCGGCCCAGAAGTGGAAATTCGACGTTAATCATGATAGATTATGTCATTCAACAGTGTGGATTTTATTCAACAGATATGCGCTGTAAAAATGCATTTATGTGTCTCGATTGAGTATTATTTAACATCGTTGGTGTAGGTCTACAACCAGCTGTATGGCAACAGACGTTTTAAAAAAGAGCACAATTGAAAATCATTAATTTTAATAATCGCAATTGCAAAACCCATTTGGAACCAGTTGACCAAACAGTGAACGAAATGGGTTAATGTATCTAAAATATGTTTCAAATGCACTTTGCAGGATTTATGCTCGGTTGAATTGTTTATTATACAACGTGTACTAGCTTGTTAGTTAATCCAGTTAATGACATTTGGCGCTGCTTTTGGTAATTGATTTTGGAAATGTGACTAATCACAAACTCGTTTACAGTGAACTCACGGTTCTAACGAACCATTAGATTGTTTAATGGCATTTTTTTGAGCACCAGTGAGGTTTTTACGAGACCCATAAATTGCCACTGCTTTTTAAAGAAAAGTACACAGGCAATTTGAATGTTCATTCAATTCAATTCGAATCATACGAAAGGGTGAAAGGGGCAGGTCCGGAAAGCTTTATTCAAACTGCTATTTGTTCACTGATTCCTGACGTAAAGATTTAAAAAATCTTAATTAAGTGTAGCTGTGTGTACTTAATGTTTTCGTCTCAGATTAAAATAGTATATTATTTTTGAGTTTGTTATGCAAATTTACAAAATTTTTCGAAAAGTTTGGTTTAGAAATTGGATTAGCTGATAAATGATAAAGTATATTTGCACAACAAGGTGAAAAGTAACTCGTCGAGAGTGTGAAAAGAGCCGAGCAAGCGCTGTTGTAGCGCGGTTTTATACAAGATTTAAAAACATCCTTATATTTCATTTTCGATGAATTAAGCACTCGATAACTACTATTGCTTGCTGTAAGTGTAGAAATCTTATTTCTTCCTATAAAAAACCAAATATTTTTTTACGAGACCAGTCGATAACATGGCATTTAAATTATTTGAAGTTGCAGAAGTGAGATTAAATTTGCAGAATGTAAACAATTAATTGGAAAAATAAATCACTTTCTTCAGTTTCCGCATTAATTTGCCTCAATTGGAAAGCAGACCGGACCTTAATATATTTTTTTCCTCGTGTACCTTTTTCTTGAGCAAAAATCTCTTCTATAGGCTCTAAAAACTCTGCCCAAAAATGAATTAAACTTGTAATATAGATTTATCACGTGCCTCAAAGCACCTCAAGTTTCCTATTGATTTTATATGGGAAAACGTGGAAAACTCGAAAAAATTAGTGAAACAAAAACATTAAACTGGCCTGTAACGACCATAATGCTTCAGTTTTGTTTTAAACTATATATTTTTTATAGAAAGCATGTGCTTTTTATGTAAAAATATACCCCAACAGTTCACATATTTATTTGCAAAACCAACGCGTTAAACAAATTTAAAAAA